GAGATGGAGACTAGCCTAGAGAAAAGTGGAGTTAACTGAGAAACTACATTTTATTAATTGCTGTTAATTATTTTTTTATTAAAATTAAGGTTTGCTCTCAGTACTCTCATTCTATTCTTAGAACCACATGTTGTCCCATAACAATACATGTTTTTTTTTTTTTTTTTTTTTTTTGCTGATACAGAAGAGGCCGCATGGTATAATGTACACAGGGCTGGAACTGGGGACAGGAATCCTCGGAAGCCGTTTTGGTTTTGCCATTAACTAGCTGCCCGACCCTGCAACTGTCACTGATCCCTGTGGGCCCTGGTTCCTTCATTTATAAAATGGAGAGCAAAACTAAATGATTTTAAAATCTTTTCCAATTCCCATTCCACTGTGATTCTCAGAGGCAGATTTCATCTGATAGTCCAATACATAGTGATTTTGAAATAAAGAAAATCAATTGACTAGCGTGTGTCTTCATCCATGACATGGAAGTTTGTTCTGTAATCACCTTCAAAATAGATTTCTCAGATGATGCTCTCTTCATATGGTGAAACACGGGGAGTACAAATAAAACTAGAAGACAATCACATTATCTTGATACTGGAATTCATTTAATACACTCAATTTTTATGTTTTATCTTTTATTTTTTAAATTTTTTTGTTTTATCTTTTAAGATCTTTTTCGTCATTGATACTGAGTATTAATAGAAATACTACTTTGTAGGGAAGAGTCTAAGAAAAATTTTGAAGAGAGGAGAAAAGAACAAAATTTGGAAAAAGTATAAGCACACGGAGGAGACGTTTGACAAAGCACAGACTGAACGAAGAAAACCAGGCCTATAACGGTAAAGTCTGAGACCCCTAATGCTTGCTTCTTCATTCTGCGGGATAAGGACCTCACAGGCTCCCATGCCTTTACTGGAGGCCCAATTTCTTTATTTGTCTTTTGTCTTTCAATAAACTTATTTTGGAAGATTACAACTCATGAGACTGGTCGCACCAAGATCGGACCTACCCCAAGGCGAAGCAGTTTCGTATACATGTGTCTGCTTGTACCTTAACACTGACTTTTATTGAAAGCATCTTGACTGTGACAAAATGGACAAGTTTCCTCCCATGCTTAACCAAAATTATTGGTCAAGTTTAGCTGATAGTCGCTTATAAAGCTTTCACAAGACTGCCATCACCCAGTTCTCTAAAAATAACCTCATGGTTTGTTTTATGGTCTTAGTCACCTAATAAAATTCAATATTCTGTCGCAAATTGAAGTTTTATTCTGTAAGAGGAATACTCTGGGCAATCAAGTATGTTCTCGCCGGTGGTATAAATAGGATTTTAAAACACTGATTTGTTTAGTTCTATTGAAACTTCAGAGAGAGCTCAAGAACACATAATCGGGTGACAGGATTGCTTTGAAGATCTCTCTTCTTTGTTGACTTATTCATCTTGTTCCTAACTGGTCCATTTGCCCCTTTCCCAAACACAAAACGGAAGGTAAGATTTGGACTGCAAAGTAAATAATAACACAGTGTAGTACACGGAATTACACCTACAGAAAATGCATCACAAGTGTCCATGACTAACAGCCTTAAGTTTTCTCTCAACTATTTTCCTCAGGTGTTCTTTCATGTTTTTGTCTCCACGTGACCGACCACTGCAAATTTAATTGAGGATTTGTAAATATTCCCCACCCCTGATGAACTCGGACAGTTTGTTTTTCCCGTTCTATTGGAAACACTACCAGCACAGTGCCAGCTCCACGCACAAAACCTTTTAACAGCACACCAGAGCAAATTGTAAGAGAGATAAATGGGGTTCTAAAGAGCACACACTCAATCAGAATGGAATTTACTTTCACAAAAGGGTCCCTATTTTCAGTTTGTTTCTTTCATAGTGTGGTCATAAGAGTCTTATGAAAACATAACAAAAACAACAACAACCACCACAAAAACTTAAAACGATCCTTTCAGGAAAGTTTTTCACTGAGAATAAACATATCTCAAGACACTTCACATCATATGCTTCTCCAAAGGGTTTTGTTCCATACACACTTGAGTATGTTCAAAATATTTCAGCCCAGGCACTGGCAGCCAGGATCTGCCCAATTAGAAGGGACGGCCCGTGCGGAGAGCCTGCTGCACCAGACCTTCCTTCCTCGGCGGAGGGCTCTGTGTGATGGGGGCAATGGGGTCACAGGAGATTGTTTACCAGCACTTTGAAAATACCACAATCATTTTAACAGTTGTTCAGCTAATAATTTATCTGGACCGGTGCCTTCTCTGCCTTGTATTAACTAAAACACTATTCTCATACTACGGACAACAGAAATTTAGAAATCTGCATGTTTCGTTTATTAATTCAATAAATATTTATCGAGGACATCAGCAGGTGCCAGGCACTGGGCTAGACCCAGAAGGAAAGAAGACTAACGACACCAGCCTCCGTAGAAGCAGTTGCTCTCAACGGGGAAACTCCTATGTAACGTTTAACAGCTAAATTTCTTACTGACTCTCTTCTGCCCATGCTGTGTTTACATGACTCTTCCTCTTCTGGGAATAAAAAAGGGCTGATCCATCATCATCTATCTTCTCAATCTAAAAGAAAGCCAGTTTAACCCTCCTCTGTAAAATTAGGAAATTTGATGTTTCGAGTCTTCCGCATTCATTCCCAATGGATCTGCTGAGGTTTAGAAACGTTCACCCACTGTCCTTCTTAAATTCTTTTTGTGTTGTCCGTGTCACACTGGAGGGCACTCCTGAAAACACTCCGCTTGGTCCAGACCTCTGTAAGCTGGACCTGAGCTTCTCCTGACCAGAGAAGCGAGTGGGCAGCTCTCCCTGGGGAACACTCGTCTACCTTGGCCAGTTAGAGTCATAAGGACAGTGCATTTCTCTAGAATAAAACATTTCCTGCTTAGAGACAAGCATGGTAGTTCGAGTGATGTTTATCCCCTCTGCTTTGTTCTTTTATACGATGTTTGATGAAAGTTGGGGCATTTGCACACACAACAGCTTTCTGTTGGCTCCCGTTAAAGGATTACTTTTCCCTCCAGGTGCCAGCATGTCTACCAGATGGCGAAGACCTCAATGCTTAGAGCTAAGGCACCACACTCCGGACCTAGAATCCAGAAAAATATCTCAGAAGTAAACCCCATTTCTTCCAAAATGCCGCAAAATAGACAGTAGTCAATCATCAATAAGTACTTCAGAAATATGTATTCACCTGCATTAAAATTGTGTGGGGAATTACCGGTTTGCTCTAAATTTAAGATCAGGGAAGAATAAATCAATAACTGAAGTAAACTAACAGATTAATTTTAAATTTATGTTAACGGAGGAGATTATAACACAAATAAAGATGGGGTGTGCAACGGAGACAAATAGTCCGTTAAACCAGAGCAACCTTAGGATGGAAGTGGACACCTTCATGGGAAATCGGTAAACATGTCATGTAGTCTCAGCAAACATTTTTTTTAAGTGACAATAGACACAGATTGTCTACCACCTGATTAATAGTATAACTGGTATTGAAGCCAAAAACCAGGACATACCCACTCACCACTATAATAGCAAGATTCGTAAAACAGAAAGAACACAATCTATCCTTTCTCACCTCTCTGTATCATAAGTTGAGGAAAAGCCTCATGAGTTGTCCGGAGCAAATCATGGCATCATGGTAAAAACGCGTGGCCCTTTAAATTCATGGAAAATTCCCCTCTGTGCAGGAGTGGGAGTGGGAACTGGTTGTGTGGGGGGGTGGTATTGAATAGGGTAGAGATCTAAAGACAGTCACCTCCTTGGCAAAAAGCAAGGCGTTAGAACCAATCAGAATCACAACCAATGGAAAAGTGTGCAAAAGTACTTTAGCGCATATTTTAAGTCATGAAGAAAAATGGTATAGGATTTAGGAAATCATTCTGTTTTAGGGAACTGCACAGCTCAAAGCAATCCTGGTAGATCTGAGGAAGAACAATTCTCACCCCCGGGCCTTCTATTTAAGTCTTGAGCAATCAGTCCAATGCAGTAGTCACTAGCCACGGTGATTATTAAGCTCCTGGAATACAGCAGGTCCAAATATACATGTGCTGTGAGTATAAAACACACCACGGATTCCAAAAACTTGGTATCAAAGAAGAATGTAAGATATTTCATTAATAATTTTATATTGATTATACATTGTAATGATACTATTTTAGATGTATTGGGTTAAATAAAATTATTTAATTTATTAGAATTAATTTCACCTTTTTTTTTTGGTCTTGGTTTATTTACTTCTTAAATGTGGCTAGAAGAAAATTTAAAATTATGTGTGTGCCTCCCATTATGTTTCTGTTAGACAGCACTGGTCTACATTAGCATGTCACAGTCCGAAGGAAATTAACCATTTGACAGCTGTTTACTGACGAGATAGTGGGGGGTAGGAGAGTACTTACCAGACTGTGCCAAGAGCCCCTCTGCAGGCAGTGATTCTTCCTGAATAGTAGAGACATTTGCTTTAAATCTTTGGAACTCAATCTGGCTTTGGACCAGACACAGCGCTAAAATCAGCACATGTAACTTCTACGAGTCTCTCCGGGCAATATCAGATGACAGATCTGGATTGAGTTAATGGAGAAGACCCAAATCCTTCTTCATGCTATTTTTGTGAAGGACCAACAGCGACCCTTTAAGAATGAGGACTCCAAGCTTAAGTTGTGTTTGAGGAAGCTCCCAGAGCAAGCTGAACATGTAGAGAGAGTGAGAAGAGCAGTAGAGATGATTGGATTATAACCAGAGTTGTGTTCTCACAACTCTGGAGGTAGTTCTTCCCGAAGGCACGGCCTCATGGGAGGGCGGCAGTCCTTCAGGATCTGGGCCCAGGGCAAGTTGCTCTTCGGGAGTAGGGTACAACTTTGGGACCAGACAGGCAGGGGCGACGAGTGGCCTCCGGTTCCGCATTTTTCACTGTTTATTGTCTCTTTGATTCCCATTCTGCATCCTCATGGAAGTTCCTTTATACGTGAAAGAAAGATTCTTGGCTATTGGCCACGAAGCACAGAAACACATTACCTCCTACACTGGAAATAAACCTGACCTAAGGGAGAAATTCAAGAATGACACTCAGTTTGTGCTTCCTTCTTGGAATTGTTAGAGAAGGGCCTCAGAGAACAGTGACTTTCCCCCGACCCCTGCCCGCACTCTCCCCCAGTTGTTTTCGGTTAGCTCCACCTGTATTCCTATTCTCAAATTATATTGGAATTGACAGTAACCAGAGAGAATGAGAAAAAGCAGTTGAGGCTGGGAAAATGAATTGTCTCAAGTTGTTTGTCCTACTTTTGGCACCATACGCCTGTTCTTTCATTGAGTTGTTTGCCCTGGCTCTCTCCATTCCTGCGAACACCGTGATGGGAAACCATCCTGCAGGGACTTCGGACCTTGGGTCTTGCGCAGCTATCTCAGTCTGTGACTCCTTGAACTTGGTTATTTACCAGGCCATTGAACTAGTTCTGCTCTGACACTCACGTTTGGTCTCCTCTGCTTTTCTTGGCCTGTCTCTTTATTTTCCCCCTTAAATCATTGCCACCCATATCTCTACATGGTGAGATTAAATTGATAAAATAGCCCCCTTTGACTAATGGAAAAATAGGCCTGCCTGTTAAACATTTAATTTCACTTCTCCTTGTCAAATAGGTAACAAAGATCTTCCACACACCTGTTGTATCTGTACAAACATGTAGTTTATTATTAATTATAGAGCTTAAGATTTTAGCTTATGCTTCAAGACTTCAAAACCACGATTCTCGCTTCATCTCTAGTTATAAATATTTAAACTTTGGCAATGAATCTTAAAGAAAACATAGCATGATTTATTCTCTGAGAAGAGACCACTGTTAAGAAGTTTGGCATGAAGCATTTTTCTTAGCACTTGTGAGACAAGCCAACTTCTCAGCTCATGCACATTACTGGGATGAATGGCATAGGGCTCTTGTGACTCTGCATAAAATTATTACTAACCTCCTAGGTTTTAGAGAAGCAGGCCTGTGAAGGAGTGAAATAAGTATACTAGCAACATCCAAAATTAAAGACAGATAGAGCCTAGAGAAATGCTTCTGCCAACACACCATATGATTTATTACTGGAAATAGTTCCCAAATCTGGAAAAAATATTTTAAATCTCCACTTGAGGTAAACTGAGGGTCTACGTAAATTGTTTACTTTTTTTAGAGTGACATTTTGCTATGGTGAGACAATAGTGTGATATATATTCCACCCTAAAATATATGCATGTAAATTAAAATGGGACAGTACGTTTGGCCTGAAAGACTCACTAAATAGTGAAGTGATTAATGTCCTGATTACCAATCTTCAAAGCCTAGACTCGACACAATTATAAATCACGATGTTCCATGGGTCCTTAGGATCACTCACAAACAATGTCAAAATGTTAAATCCACAATGAAAATAAACATAAAAATGATTTTGCCACTTTTGAAGAATTACCCAATATGGAATATAAAGGCAGGCAAAGTCTTGGTTATGGGTCCAGGTGACAAAGAGAAGTGTCACCCAGCACCCCACCATGCTTTATCAATATTCCTCATGATCTCAGTTGACACTGGGCAGATCCTTGAAGCTGTGAATGATGAGAATATGGAACCCCAGGCCTTTTCAGATACCGTCAGGACTTGCTGCCATCAGGGCCACTTACTAGATGCTCTTAAGTAATAGGGAATGAGTATGCTAGTGGGACCTCCAAAGAAGCCTGCAGCTCCTGATGGGGGTCCCAGGGAAGTACAAACTTAATTCAATGCAAGCTCTCTGCAAAGTTCTTAAATGCAAAAAAAAAAAAAAAAAAAAAATATCCAATTTGTCCTGGTTAATTTTAAGTTTCAAGCCTCTCTCATGGGGGAGGGGTTACAACACAAACATCTAGGGCAGCTCAGCGGTTTAGCGCCGCCTTCAGCCCAGGGTGTGATCCCAGGGTCCGGGGATCAAGTCCCGCATCAGGCTCCCTGCGTGAAGCCTGCTTTTCCCTCTGCCCTTGTCTCTGCCTCTCTTTCTCTCTCTCTGTCTCTCAGAAATAAATACATAAAATTTAAAAACCCATAAATATCTAAAGACCCCAAGCAAAACAATACAGATTGACAGAAACATATCAGACTGGAGGACAGAAACTGCAGTAAGAGAGAGGCCACTCTTTGGCTCCAAAGGATTATTGTCAAGCGTTGCCCAATCTACCAAAATTCAAGAGAAGTCAAACTCCAGAAGGCTTTTGTGTGTGAAATTTCCCTATTATCAGAATATTTTGTTGTTCAAGAAAAGCATATCTGTTTTCTGTGCATCGCATCTCTCCAGCCCGCTGACTCCCGGGCCTCAGCCTGAGGTCTATAGGTTCACTGGATCACAAATCCTCTCTGTTTTCTCCTTAGCATGCCAAAGCATTCGAAGGTGGTGTTCCCTTGTTCCCCAGGACCTCAGATCATGGACACTGTATTGAAAGTTTGCTTTCAAATTTTTGCTCCTCAAGGGCTACAACCACTCTCTTCAGCAGTACCTAACTCTGTGCACCGGAATGGGTTACAAAACAAGGTGCAGCAAAACTCCATTTAACCTCCAACTGTTTATGGAACAATTTCCATCTGCAGGCTGAAAGCACGTCTGCATGGAGAGCCTGGAGAAACATAACTTGATGTGTACATTGAAGGAGTTCACAATCCATAGAATCATTATGGAATTAAAATGCGAAGAGTATTATTGTCAAATATATGATGCAATTTGTCACCAGAAGAGTCAGATGGAGATTCATTTATTTTCTGAACTTAGCAAGCATCCTGACAACTCCAATGAGTTTGTGCCTCTATTCCTTCTCAGTTGCCTGTTATCTGATAGAAGTTATATACAGGCAGTGGGAAACCCAAAACCTTGCCTGAAAGGTTCAAGAGAAGAGTAAGGGCTGGGGGAAAAAAATCTGAGTAATTACCTCATTTATACACACAGAGACTCATTAAGGTCTCATTGCCTTCCCTGCAAGATGAAAACAAAGATGTGATTGATTCTCAGATGTTAGATTTTGCTAATTATTACAAACTAGTATTCATCACTGAAATAACCAATTCTTTCTGAATTGCTAGGTCTCTTCAATTCTCTGCTTCACTTTGAATGAAAATAACCCGCTTTCTTCATTACTACTTCTGAATAATTCCTGGGAAAATGCTGAAATCAAGTCTCCGATTAGATAATATTAGCCCCAACTATTAAACAAAATCCAAGCTCACGCTTAATGAAGTTCCAACGATGTGTTCTCAGAAAAAGACCAAATAAAGAAGTTCCCAGATGAGTACAACATGCACTTGACTTTTGTCTCTAATAGCAATCACTCACTGAAGTGTTTTCAACATGCTCAGGCATTTCCTCCTCTATCCGTAGTAGAAGCCTCCAAGCAACAAGACCTGCAGTGTTCCTCGGCTCAATATATGTGGTAATGATTTGCTATTATAAGGATAATCATATATGGTATTGTTGGGCCTTCGGTTCAGGATTACATCCTGATTTTTAAAATACCCATGACCTCATTAGCATATCTGTAAGATTCCGACAGGAAGCTAAAGAGGAAAGAGCCAGGTTTTGCTTTTAAGACTATTAAAGAAAGAACATTTAAGCATTGCAGTTCTGGCAAAAGAAAATATAAGCATTGCAATTAGTGGAATGAAAATTCCGCGCAGGGTTCAAAAGCATAAAAACAATAAATCGAATGTAATCATTTCAAAGAAACTTCTCATTCAGTAAAGAAAGAGAGAGGGAGATTTTTTTTTTTTTTAGACATTTGAAATAATGGAATCAATTGTGTTAGAACCAAAATTGTGAAGTATATGAAGTATATATTCAATCTCCTGCTTTTCCTTTAATGTGAAGACTCAAGGATCCTCACAGGGTGGGTCAAGTGGTTGGGGGGTCCCGGTGCATCAGTGGGGGGCAGGGGCAGGGCCAGGGGCAGAGAAGAGGAGCACCTAGGAGCGTCCAGCACCGCTCCTGGCCTGGAAGGTGCAGGCTCCGGGGGGGGGGACTCCAGGCAGGGCGGTGGCAGCAGCAGAGGAGGAGACCAGGGCAGCTCCCCCTCAACAAGGAGGCCTGGGTCAGTGACTGACCTGGTGACAGTGAGCAGGATTTCCTCTGTGTGTCCATACCCTACTGTCCCAGTCTCCAGGTTTTTTAAACCAGTACGTCTCATTAGGACGGTTGGCAGGTCCCAAGGTGGTTCCGAAGGCTGTGACTCCTACGAGCTCTGTTTGGCCAGAATAGTTTCCCCCTTTCTGTCATTTGCTTACAGTGAACGATGGAAGGGTCTAGAGCCTTGAGTTCCTTCTCACTCAGTCCCCGCTTCAGAGGCAAACTGAGGGAAAGAGAAGATTCAAATGACTTCTCAAAGGATCACATTTTGCCTCAAAAAATTGTATTCAATGTGGTAGCAGCACATTCCAAAATGAAGGTCAAAGAAACGTAGGACAGGCCCCCACATTTTGGCACTATCATCCATAGATGCATGCTACAGAGTCAACCAACCCCCCCACACACACAAAAAGTTTAGCTGCTGTCATTTAAGAGCATCCTAATTATGCTGAATTAAAAACCACTTTCCTATTCTAAACTCCAGTTGTCCTCTGACATAAAAATAAATGTAACTTGGCAGGAACATTAATCGGCTCTTTTGTCACAAGGTGTGGTGAGCTCCCTGGCCTACAGCAGGAGTCCTCCAACCTTGGCCGGGGTAGGACTCAAAGAAAAAACTGTAAAAATGCTGATTATCAGGCCCATCCATAGAAATTCTGACTTGGTATGTTTGGGCTGTGGCTCAGGAATCTTTTCAACAGCGGAACCCAGGTAATTTTAACGTAGGTGGGCCATAAGCCTCTCAAGAACACTGGTTTCCAGGATGTATTCTCAGAGGACAAATGTGCAATTATAGTCCTATCAATGTATAGTCTTGGTGGACTATATATATATATATATATATACATATATCCCCAAAACCCTCGAGTACCTTGCTCGTGAATCCTCCCAGAGCCATGCTGAGGTGGGCGGGGGACAGGAAGTAAT